GGATGTTGACTTCCTACCTCTTATATATTCTTAGCCCTCCTGTGAGATGGCATCGAATGTAAAGTCGAGGTTCAGATATTCACCTCCGATGTCGGCGCGATGCGAGATAGGGGACAGAAGCGAACGCTCGAAAACCAATCCACCATTGCGTTTTCCTGCTTGTTTTTATGGTGTAAAACACGACAGCTGAGTTGAATCAAGGTTGATTTAATTTGGAAGAAATTCTCAATATATGACAGTTACTCCGATCGCGCTTCGAGTTATCTACCTCTCTTGGGTCGTACAGGCTACGACCATTCACAGCTTTCCAATTTCACACTTATGCTAAAATACTAGGTTTAGAGGATATTCTAGCTATTGATATATTCTATCAACTAAATATCACAACTATGTCAAAACTATGCTCAATATTCAATGACCTGCGTCTCAACTCCGATTTCGCTCTTGAAAAACAATCATCATATGTAAGATTACCTTCCTAATCAATTTCCAAAAGTTCATATTTATCCTCATCCAATAAATCTTCAATCCTATGCATGATAGCGAGAACCTTTTCCTCTTCCAATCTTTGACCCACCACTTGTATAGCTACCGGAAGTCCATGCATTGCATTTGCGTCGTAATGTTTATAAGCACCATATGCGACACCATTTAGAGATTTGAGGGAAAAAGTGGATGGGAGTTGATCGAGTTCTTTATCGACATGGGTAATAGGCATGATACCGGTAGTATAGTCGAGCTGTTTTTATTAGTTGGAAATTTCAAAGGGATCATGCAATGAACTCACCAAGTTGAATAAGAAAGTGTAACCACAACTGCTGACTGCATCTTTCATTCCGTCGTGAGGTACTGCTGGTGTGGCATTTGGTGGAGTAATCATGAAATCAAGTTTCACTTCATCTTCCCACCAAGCATGGAATTTAGCTTTGTAAGCTTCTCTTTTGGCGACGAGCTTCCATTGCTCATAGGCAGATTTTTCATGCCATTCTTTGATTAATCCAGCCCATATATCATCTCTTCTAACGTATTTAACCCAGGCCCAATACATCCATTTGAATGGACTTGGTAATGACATAAGAAAGCTCATTGCTTTTGCTCCGGGATCTTCCCATTCGCCAGTTCTGAAGAATGATTTGAATGTCTTGCAACCATCAGCGTTGAGAAGTTGTGAGCCAAGATAAAGTGCTTCGTATGGAGATGGTGGATTAACATCATAGACTTCGTGGCCATCTTCTTCCAGTACAGCCACTACTTCATCCACAGCTCTCATACAAGCGGGACTTGGATCCACAACTCCATCAGTTCTTAGTACACCAATTCTGAACTTCTTCTTTTCGCTGAAATCCTTCCATGCTTCCTTTCTCCATGGAATAGGGTGAACACTATGATCATACTTCCATGGTTGCATACCAATCATAGACTTTGTGAAATATGAGAGATCTTCCAAAGTCCTTGTCATGGGACTAAACACACTAGGAATACCTTCTTGACCTGGCATACTTGTGCACATACCATTCTTCGGCCATCTTCCAGTTGAGCACCTCAAACTATAGATTCCCGAGAAGTGAGCTGGAACTCGAACTGATCCAGCAACATCTGAACCAATTCCAATTCTTCCACCACCAGCTGCTAATAAAGCAGATTCACCACCTGTAGATCCACCTGGCGAGTATTTGTTGTTATGAGGATTTGTGCATCGTCCCCAAAGATCGTTTGTTGATTCGAAACTTAGTAATGTAATAGGAAGATTTGTCTTGACATATGGAATTGCTCCAGCATCTTTCAATATCCTCACCATGGTTCCATCTTTCTCTACCTTGTTACCAACATTGCTACTGTATCCTACGGTGGTATCGAAACCACCAACTGCAATTGAATCCTTTAAACTTATAGGGATACCTGCTAATGGTCCCTTGAAATTAATACTTCCATCTGTAGCCCAACCTTCGGCAGCATCAATCATAACTTCCGTTACACAATTGGTTTTCTCATGAGCTTTGATTGCAGCTTTTCCGTATGCTCGTAGGATATCAATTGGTTGAATAGCTTGGTTATGAACATCTTTGACTAATTCTTCAATTGGTTTCGATAGAACCTGTCTTTCTGAATTTGTAAATGCTCCGTGATAACTTGTGAGGTTTTGTATTCGTTGAGTTCGTTCTGCTTGTTTGAATTGACTATGGACAGTTAGGTATTGCTATGCTTGGCATTCCCCAGAGCTCCTCTCTCGCACCAAGGTGATTTTGATAGCGATAAGATATGAGAATGGGATGAACACTTACCAATCCCTCCTGTGTTGGAAATAATCAAGTAGGAAAACCATTTTGAATATGAGCAAGCAGAAACTACGCAGATATGTGAGGGTATTTACAATATCAAAGATACAAATGGGAAGAGAAGTCGACGAAGAATGTTGGCTTATAGCTAGACGGGGGACTTTAAAGCCATTGATATCCGGCCTGGAACGGAAGGACCCCTCCCTCCTCCAGATAAGCGGCTGTACATTCCTAATTTGGCCAATTAGCTAGAATCAAACGTATCAAATCAGAAAACAAGCATATTGCGGGGAAAAGTGGTGTAGTGTGGTATAATGTGGTGTAGTGTGGTGTGTCAAATGAAAAATCGACCAAAATCTCCAAACAAATCATATCAGGAGAAGCTACGAGGCTACTCGAATACCTTGGCTATACGAGTAAACGTGCTGCTAATCAGCGTCAACGCCATTTCCGGATCATCTGATTACTTTCTACCCCTCTTTTTAGATATCGTTCAACACTGCCACATACCTAGTTATCTTTCTTATCAAGATGTCTACTCATTCAACTCCTTACTCTTCCATCTCGACACCGGCAACTCTAGTTCACGACGGTGCTATTCACGATTTCGAAGATCCTCGTCACGAATATCAAACCCCACCGGCATCCATTATGTCCAACTCAGAACATCTACTCATATGTACAGCATGCGGTACACAGTTTGATGCCGAAGATCGATCGATTCTTACCAGATGTCGAATATGCGATGATCCACGACAATTTGTACCACCAAGTGGTCAAGCATTCACTACACTTGCGGCTTTGAAAGCTGGGGGCCAATATAAGAATCAATGGAAACAACTCGATAACGATGATCGATTTTGGAATATATGGACCGAACCTAAGTTCGCCATAGGACAACGAGCAGTTCTCATTAAGACACCGCTTGGAAATGTGCTGTGGGACTGTATAACTTATATGGATGATGAGACTGTGGACTGGATTCATGGGTTGGGTGAATTAGCAGCAATTGTGATATCTCATCCGCATTATTATACCACACATTTGGATTGGGCAGAGACATTCGATTGTCCTGTCTACTTGAGCTGGGAAGATAAGAGTTGGTTGAACCGACTTGATAGAATGGGAAAAGCTAGAACATTTATTGAGGGAAAAGAAGAGGAGCTTGAGATACGAGGTGAGAAGACTGGTGTTAAAATGTTGAAGCTCGGTGGTCATTTTCCAGGAAGCTTGGTTTGTCTTGCTCATGAAAGATTATTGGTAGCGGATACTCTGGTAACCACACCAAGTGCATTGGGAGATTGGAGTAAAGGTCCCGGGGGAGGAAAAAATACAAGACCGGATGGAATGAATAGTTATGCTTTCATGTGGAGTATTCCTAACATGATACCCTTAAGTGCGGACGAAGTAGCTGGAATGTGGGAGGTATTGAAACCTCATAGCTTCTCAAGTACACATGGAGCTTTTGTAGGCACGGATGTGGTTGACGGTAGTAATGGAAGCGAGAAAGGGGTCAAACAACGAGTACTCGAAAGTATGCAAATTCAAGTGAGGAGAATGGGTTGGAACAACCATGTCTTCTTAAAAGAGAATCTGGATGAACAGGAAGAAGAGGTTCTATGATACTTATGATAACGATAATGATAATTGATACCCCCATGTTTCAGTATAGGTAGATCCATATTGTCTTATCTAATTTAGCCTGGGAGTTTTGAATGTTTCTGAACAAGCTTAGATTTTAATCAGAAATCGTACTTGGTGTGTATCATATCCTCATATCGCTGCTGTCTACTTTGGTCTTATTTCGAGCGCAGCGAGCAAAGGGGGTTTGGGGGCTTGCCCCCATGAATGGGATTATACTAATCGCATAAAATCAACAATTTGCTGTCCTTTAAAGTATGAGAGACTTGACTACTTGCAGAGCTGATCATAGTATTAAATTTTGTAAGATGGATATTCGATTAGGTAACTTTAGATGACGCTCCGCTGGCCCTCCGGGGGCCACTGCCGTGGAGGCAGACTAATTGCAAGGAAAGAGATATATGTATAAAATCCGATTTGAGTATCCGATCTGAGTAGTCAGTCTGTATAGTTTCTGTATACTCTGACAACTTTCTCATTCTTTACTCTGTAGCGTATAGTATACGGTTAAACTATATGTACTTTTGTATAGTAATAGATATGTTTCTCTACCTGTGTTTGTATATATATGGAAACAAGCATCTAGATTCTCCAATTTGATCTCAGCTCTCTTCCAAATTGTTTCATATAAACACCCAATATGTAAATAAACAAATGGATGTATATAAACTTTTCTTCACCTAAACGATCCTAGTCAAAGCCCCTGAATATCAACCCTTATCCATTGTTATCGCACAATAATCTACAGGGTCCTTCCAGGGCTCAGCCTCTCATTTGATCCCCAATTTTAGTTCCTACAAGCCCCAAGCTTGAATTTCACAGCGTCGTAATCAAATAATTTCCATGGAGAACACAAAATAGTCATTTACACCAGTTTAAGGTATGCACAAAGCAAAATACGAATTCTCTCACAAATACCCAGAGTAGCTATTATATTACACATAAGAGGAGTACTTACCTTAATATAACACAAATTCTGGTCATCATTCCTTGGTAGCGAATCTTAGACAAGGGGATTCGGGTATGGATGGCAGTTGATACTACATAGGTAGGGGAAGCAAACCACGATTGGAAGTTATCAGAATGGCAGCTTTTTCTCATCATTCCCAATATACCCATTCGACGCGCGATCATTTGAGAGAACCTCCGTCGATTTGGAGAAGGTTATTATTGGTTCTGCCGACGGATCTGGCCGTGTCTTTGCAGAGGATGGCAGACCAACAGAATTTCAATGTGGTTGGGGGGAAGACATCGAGAATACCGAGGTTAGTGAGGGGATGGATGAGAGATTGGAGTTGGAGACGAGCTTTTAGTTTACCGCATTTGTTGGTGTGTGTTTGGGTGGTCGTTTTACTGTCTGGAGAGCGCTGGGTTTTCGAGGAAGCTGTGCGAGCTTGTGCGTGGGAGGAATGGGAGAGATGGGTGAGTTTTCTTGAGGAGGGGGCGATATTGTTGAGATGGATTGGACGAGGCTGATGAATATGTTCTATCTGAATAGCCTCCAAATACTACGCCCCATCACTTGATCTTTCTGGCAGACCCTCAATTGACGGATCCGCATTCATACCCTGATAGGCCATGGCCGTTGTCGACTTTCACCGTCTGGCACACGGATAATTATATGAAGAGGTCTTATATACAACTTTCGAAACAATTACATCCAGATACTATATTTTTCTTGGGGGATTTATTCGACGGAGGAAGAGAATGGAAGACCGCGCATGGAAATTCAGAAGATCAAGCATGGGCAAAAGGAAGACGACCAGCAAAAGAGCAAAAGCATTTGGAGAGTTGGGGAAAACGATACGGAGAGGATTTTTGGTTGAAGGAATACGGTCGATTCTCCAGGATCTTTTCGGACAACTGGAATTTAGGAGGAACAGAAGCTGGAGTTGGGCAAAGAGGACGAAAGCTCATTGCAAGTTTACCAGGAAATCATGATTTGGGCTTCGGCGCACAAATTAAGGTTCCTATTCGCGATCGATTTGAGGTTTACTTTGGAGATGTAAACAGAGTGGATGTTATTGCGAATCATACCTTTGTTTCTGTGGATTCAGTATCATTGAGTGCTGGAGCATCAGAACGTCCAGTTAGTGAAACTGCACCTATCACCAAACCAGTCGAGGAATTTCTGAACAATGTTCAAGTCTCCAAACGGAAAGCCGTGGCTAGAGAGTTGGACTTTCAGGCTGGAAAGGAAAGAGCTATACAATATACTCATTCAGTTCAAGATGTTGAATTAGCAGATTACGCACACTTACCAACTCTTGATCCTGGACCAAATGGTGCTGAATTTCCTACTATTCTTCTTACTCATGTACCGCTATATCGAAATCCTGGAACTCCATGCGGTCCTCTCCGAGAACACTGGCCACCAACGCCGCCACCAAAGGGTCAGACTATGCCTGTCATACCCGATCATAGAAATGCCATCAGTGTATCCAAAGGATACCAATACCAAAATGTACTCGGTGACGACGATTCGAAAAAACTAATCTCAAAAATTGGCAATGTAGTTTCTATCTTCTCAGGTGATGATCACGATTATTGCGAATTAGTACATCCAGAAGACAAAAATCACGCCCGAGAAATTACAGTCAAAAGTATGAATTGGGCAATGGGTATTCGCAAACCTGGTTTTCTCATGCTGAGTATGTGGAATCCAGTTGGCGCGGATGGAAAACCTTTACATTCGATTCCCACAGGTCATGGGGCTGAAAACACACATACTTCAACGACGATGGAATCGCATCTTTGTTTATTACCGGACCAAATTGGCATTCTTATAAATTATGGCATTTTGGTAGGGATCTCACTTCTTCTCCTGATCATTCGAGCGATTCTCGTGCCTTTTACAAATCTTACTCCTTTCGCCCCCGATACCAAAGGTTCTTCTTCAGGTCCAGGTAGTCCAATTGATTCGGAATTCTCGCTCTTGCCAACTAGTATTAAAGATCTCAAACGCGAAGATGAAGAGGAAAAAGATCGGAGGAGTGAAGGGAATTCGTCAACTTCGAGTACGGCTACGGTTAATAATCTCGCAACTCGGACTTCTAGAACGAGGACATCGAGTCCGGCGAATGGTTATGGGTTACCAGGACAGGGATACTCGAATGGAGTTCCTTATCAACAGACTCAGCCGTTGATTGAGAAGGCGGGATATTATGGTGGGTTGGAGGGAAGACTTAGGTGGGAAAGTGAGAGGGAATTTGAGATGGAGATGGAAAGGGAGAGGAAGAGGAAAGTGGAGATGGAGAGGAGGAGGAATTATAAACCTTGGAAGATAGTGGTCTGGTGGGGAGGATTTAGAACTACGAAAATGGGGAGAGTACTGAGAGAGATCGGGTGTAGTGTTTGGAGAGTGCTGTGGGTTGTTGGTGCAGTTTTTATGTGGTTTACTTGGTTTGGTTAGGGGCTTAGGTAAATGAGGAGAGCGGAAGAGAAGCTTTAAGTTCTGTTTTTGTCTTGTTTTTGGCAGTTTGGCGGGCGCATTGGTGGTGGTGCATTTGAGGCGTGTTTGCTTACCTACTTGTGTGCTTTATACTTTCTACCATCACCTTTTCTCCTACTTGTAAGTGGAAATGGGCTCAGGCTCAGATCTATTTCTCTTTATAAACATAAAGACAAGCTTCGATTTGGGTTACTTGCTTCGCTAACGGTTGATTGGTTGCATTGGGATATGGTGATCAATGGTGGAATACCCTGATCTGATTCAATCTGGTCTATGGATGGATGGATGGATGCTTTTTATCTTGGTCGAAGGCTGGAACTCAAAAAAACAGGGGTGTTATGAATAGGAAGAGGGAGGGCAGGAAAAGATTGCTTTTACAGCCAGCGTTTGCTTGTTTTGCTGATGGGATAGCTGGTATGTAGCATGGCAATTAGGTAGTTGCTGAAAATGAAAGTCGAAATAAATATATGGTTATAAGGCATGCAAGGAAATTGTTTAAATTGAATGGATGGTTAGTTGTGAAAAGTGATTGATTGGTTGATTATTTACGTCATTTGATGAAACGACAAATATTATAGGATAGAATAGGGGGAATATAGACGAGACGAGACGAGATGAGGTAGATGAGAAAATGGAGATTTGAGTTGATACGCATGCATGGCGTGATACGGCTTTAAGTAGATAGTGATAGTGATGACGTACAGGTATATAGCATGGATGCTCTGTTACAGCGCTTTCTTGATGGAGTTTCGTATATTTTTCGTGGATGAAGTTATGGGTGTATGAGGCTGAAGCTGGTGATAATGGTGATGTGATGTGTAGCGGGGGAAGATTCGTCTCTACTAACTAAGTATTAGGGGGTGTAGTTATTGGAGGAGTTGAGATATCATGGATATGCACATGTGTATTGAGAAGAGTACTTTGAATTATCCATATGCATTCTTGTGAATGCAGATGACTTTGACCTTGGGAGTTGGGCACGATGACTTTGAATCACCAAATACCTAGGTATGCAATCGAAAGCTTCAAGACTGATCACGCGTACCTACGCAAGGTAGTGTTTGTCATAATATCTATAATGGTATCAACATCCTATCTTACAAACCTATCCCCTCAAGACCCATCAACAATCTCGTCCCTCCCCACCGGTGTATTCCCAAAGCTCTCCAGCCCCCTACCGCCACCTCCAACCTTGTCTTTTGCCATCTCGCTAGAAGCATCCACGAGACCCTTCACATCATTCATTTCCAATTCCTTGATACTCGCATCTGCTTTTAGTGCCGCATATCTCTGACCCGCTTGCGTTAGCAATACTTGAACTTCCTGTTCTCTTTTTGCAATCTCTACTTTTTCCTTTTCTCCCTCTTCAATTTTCTTTTTTCGCTTAGATAATTCAAGTTCCATCGTACTCAACGTATTCTGCAACCTCTCCAAACACTCTGACAACACCGGAATCGGCGTGATTCTCGCCGGAACCTGGTTTTCCTCCCTCGCAACAGCCGCATCATCATGTTTATGAAGACCATCCATACCCGCCCTGGTTTGCGCGGCTTCATAAGCGGCTCTTCTTTCCGCTTCTGAATCATCGCTTTCTTCATCCGAGCTACCTTCGGCTTGTTGGATCAGATCTGCCATTTCTTTCTTCCGACGTCGTTTCTCCTCGCGTTCTTGTTTTTTCCCAAGAGAAATTCGTCCATCGTCTACGAACTCTTCAAATCCTTCCATGATTTCTTCATCGTCGCGCACTAATCTTGATTCTGCTTTCTTTTGTCGAGGAAGAAGTGAGGTAATTCTTCCTCCATCTGGTTCATCGTCATCCAACGAGATGAAATCTTTTTCCCTCACCATTCTCGCTCTCCTTTCTTTCTTTTCTCTAATTTCCGCCTCGGTAGGTATGATCGCAGCACTCCCTCCGAGTCCTCCAACTATATCTCCATTCCCATGTAAATCCACAACCATTGCTCCCTCCAGCTCACTCGCATCGAGAAACGGTTCTTCTCCTCCCCCGACCTCCACATCAGCCAATTCTCTCATCGCAGAAGCCTGCGAACTCTTTAATTCTTTCAAGTAATCTTTACTATAACTCGGTCTTCCCATATCTGAATCTCCATCCCCATCCCCATCTTCATCCCTCGTCCTCATCGGCAATGGCAACCTCGTATTAAGCTTCTTTGTATTCCCCTCTGTAACCTTCCTCAAAAAAGGCTTCTTCACCAACGTAAACGATTCATCGTCCTCGAGATTCTCGGCATCGGAGCCAGATATTATATCGCCTACTCCAAAGGAGAGACGAGAAGATGCGGGTCTCTTTTTCTTTTTGAAAGAGGTAGCTTTGATGCTTGGAGGTTTGTTTAAGGAGCTATCGTCGCTGGGGGTATCGGTTTTCGACGTATTGTCTTCATCTTGTGTTAGATCTTCGAATGCGATACTCCGGCGCAAATTCGATTTCTTGAGGGGTTTGCGAACTGCCGACATCTTGTCTCTCTTCAAATCTTAAGTTTCACTTTCCCTAAAACAGGTATATCAATCGGTATCACCTACTGTCTAATCGATAAAAATACTGTCCTCAAGTCGTGATAAACAAAGACGCGTCTTCTGCGATGAAGCTGTCTTCCGCCTTGCCATCCCGATAAATAAAAGTCACCCAAATGCATCTTCTTATCACCACGTGACTTCAACATCAGCCTCACGAAACCTCAATACAGCCACGAAATTTTGGTGTATATCCGTCGCAAGCAGTCAAGCTTCCAATTTTACACCATCTACCCGACGAATTCTACAAAAACATATCGTCAAGATGCCTCAAGCTCAGCCTGAGCTTAAGAAGGTATGTGCGATTTCTGATGTTCCGTATCTCTAGGAGTTGGCGGCAACGCGAGCAGGCAGTAGATTGAAAGCATATGGATCAACTCGAGCTACTGTGCGAGAGTCATGTAATATGGGAGAGTTTAAATTGATAGCTAATACTATGCGACGATGTAGTACCTCGATAAGAGACTATTTGTGCAGTTGAACGGCAGCAGAAAGGTCATTGGTGTATTGAGAGGTTACGATGTAAGTTCCTCTTCTTGCGCGCATCCCAATTTATTCTAGCTAACGCGCAGAAACAGGTCTTCTTAAACATTGTGCTGGACGATGCAGTTGAGGAGAAAGAGGGTGGCGAGAAAGTAAAGATTGGAATGGTTGTATGTTCTTGCACTTCCCGCGGACTCAAGCCCAAACGCTAACATGCCCTTCAGGTTATCCGCGGAAACTCAGTTGTTATGCTCGAGGCATTGGAGAGAATAGGTGGTGGAAGGGAAAACCGCGAACAGCATTAAGTTTATCAGGGAATTCGATTTGTTGGAGAGTTTGAGGATGGAAGATGAATGGGAAGGACATCGAAGAATTATATCTGGACCAGGGCGTTTACAGGTTATATGAAATACAAATTGCATATTGAGGAGCACGGAAGAGGAGATATAACAATCTGTTTGGCAAGATGAACCATTATCTTCTAGAGCTGATGCCCTTTCCAGAGCAACTTTTGCGTCTCATTGATTGGGCGTGCTACGATGTGAAATGCGACTGAAAACAATATCTGCATTTCTTACTTTAACTCCTCCCACTTCCCCTCCTCAAACCCATCCATAAGCATCCCCTCGAACTCTTTCACCCACCCCTTAATACCACCACTCAGAACCGCAACCTCAATATTACTCTTTTTTCCAAACTTCGCTATATCATCAATATAATCCTGCATCCAGCCTGCACATCTTGGTCCCCTCCCAGTTGATGATCCTACATCACATAAGCATCTCATTTCTCAAACCCAGGCACGAACAGTACATGCCACAGTAAAAAATGACCTTGGTCATACCCGCTCTACTACAGAGTTCATACAGCGACTTACGAGTTTGATAAAAACTCTGAGCGGGAAGATTAAGTGAAGTTTTGATGGTTCCGCCCTACACACATATACATCAGAGATATCGAACCTCAACCTTGAACTGAGTTTCGTAGAGGGGGGTTTGGTATCATATATATTCCCGCTCGAGAAAGCTCTCAAAGTGGGTAAAATAGATCTCCAATGTGATATATGAGAAATATACATACAACCCAATCATCTCTTCTAACATCTACCAACAAGAAAGATCTCGGCTCAGATGTGATATCCATATCATCAAGCAACTTCATCACATCATCCGCAGTGAGCTCTGGACATTTTGCTCTGGCTTCGGGGAATGCTTTCCACCACGGAGCTTCTGACTTTGTATCTTTTGTGTCCGTCATGATCGTATTGAGATGAGATGAAAGCTGTGTAAAAAGTTTGAAAAGTTTGAAAAGTTTTATTTGGTGGTGTGTCATGAGTTAGGCAGCTTTTCTTTCATATGTGGCTTGCTAATCGCACGCATTGGCTCAATGTCATTATCAAATTCAGGTTCATTAGTTGAAGAATTCAAACGATTGAGATATTCTATATTATTTCTTTCATTAAATACAGAGGTATATACAGGATGTTGGATTATACAATTTGAAGCGAGAAAACTAATGACCCTTTTTACCTCCCTTTTTTGCCTTTTTATGCGCCTTTTCACCCATCTCCTGCTCATAGATTTCTGCAGCCGATTCTCCTGCCTTTCTCTTGGATTTCGCACTCTTTACACCAACCACTATATCCTTCTTTCCAGATTTAGCAGCATTTTTCACTTGCTTCTCGGCTTCTGCCCACCCTGGTGCTCCTGCTTCGATTTCATATCTGATCAAAGGGTTAGCATTATAGTTTCTGAGATGGCTGGACCAAAAAGCTTACTGATCTAAAGGGAGAGCATCAATAAGCTCTCTTTGCTTCTCCTTCAAAGCTTTCATAGCTTCATCTCCACCTTCCTCCAATTCTTCTTCGAGTCCCTGTTCTAGAGGTACGAATCTATCATCTACAACCTCATCATCCAAAGCTTCATTTGCATCTTCTCTACTGACACCGATGTTCTCCCGTCCTGGCATCTCAGCCTCAATAGCACCAGAGACCAAGTCACCAAAGTGTGAGCTCATCTTACGCATGATTTTGATAAACATGGCCAAGAGTTGAGATGACGGAAGAGATAACTCGGACTCAATGGCTGTCAAATCCTTTCTCTGCAAGCCAACCGCAAGTAGTATCGATGATTGAATACCGGTAAGCTTAATGTTGGACTTTAAGCGGCCAGTGAAATATAAATTCGCAAGTGTTGGAATGAGATCCAAAATGACGTGATAATCGAGCATGTTATTTGCGTATGATTCCAGACGTTTAAGATCGAAAGGTGACATAAGTTTGTCTAATTCTTCTTTTGAAAGTGGCTTGGGTGCAGCTTCTGGGTCAGATTTTGAACCAGCGTTTGCTGATTCGTCAATGCTCAACGCCAAAACTGAAGGGAATTCACGGAACTGGTACGAGAGAAGAGATAAGAATCTGCGATGGAAATCTCTAGAGAACGCAGACTCCCATTCTCTATCTTCACTATTCTCCAAAGTGCGAACCATAACACATGTGTGCTCTCCTGTCAATTCGTTTGGTGTTTGACGAAGATAGAGAGGTACGAATGAAGCCCTTTTCCAGAATCTGTGCAGAGGTTGAGTAAGGCCGTAACTCACACCAATATAATCTAGGTTGTCCGGCCGCTTTTCGGATAATTTTGAGAAAAGAGGTGGCATCTTTCTGATGTCCCTAACCTTGATGTTATCCTCAAGAAGAGATGAGCTTGTCAACTCCTCGTCTGTGACACGGGTGATTGTCTCTTCTACATAGTCATTCGTATCTTCTGAGAGGTTGGTAAACTTTCCTTCGTAGAAAGCAGTGAGGAGCTCGAGCGCTTTGCTTCCATAGCCCATCTTGATGTAATCAGGATTTGTTGCTATTCTGACTACACGTGCTCCAGAGAGACCAGCGAAGTCATCGTCTTGGAATTGTTGACTGACCAACCATGGAATAAGATCACCAGCTGCTCGCTGACCTCTACTCAGGCTGTTCATGACACTTTGTTTGCTAATCTTTCCTTCCAGAGCGACTTGAATTACGCAGAGAGGTTCTGGTAAGTGTTTACTGTTCTCTTCAATAGGTGGAACAAGGACAAACAATTGATGAGCTGGAGCATCACTCATCAATTGAAGGTCATCTGGAGTATTTTTGTAATGACTCGCGACGTAAAGAGCAATTATTTGCTGCAAAAACTTTTCGGAAACATCATGGAAAGAAAAGAGGGTATCACGATTGATGTTGAGCAGTTGACATTGTGAAGGATCCGGGCATCCTTGAAGAGTGTTTAATCTCGAGCGAGGTAAGGTGGCATCGAGGCAGAGCAATTGATTAAGCCATTTCTCAACAGCGTCACCTTGTGCATAACGAATAGGCTCAGACAATGTGATCTCTCTTAGCGAGCGACCTCCTGAGAAGCTGTTGTCGGCACCTTTAGCAGCAGCCTTGCCACTTGATCGATCAGCTACCTCAACATCTTCTGTTCCGTTTGTCGCTCCTCTAGATTGTTCTCGGAGTTGTTTGATCAATTTCAAAGATAGAGATCTTCCAGTACCTTCGTATCCATTAATGGTGGATGCCATGAATACTAAATAAGGACCCATAAGCTTCTTTACGAGTGGCAGCGGTATTGCAGCGGCCTCATCAATGACCAATAATTCGGCTTGACCAAGAACATGCGCATCCTGTGGTCTGATGTATTGGATGGTTTGACGATGTTGACGATGGATATTTACTCGAACAATTGCTTTGTTAAAATCGGGGTTTGTAGATTGTATGATTGAGTAGTCGACGTGATCCATGTAGTTAAGAGCATCGAAACCTTTAAAGATAAATTCGAACAAGGTCTTCAAATTCTCTGGACTTGGAGATGTAATGAAAATGTTACTATATCCATGCGCGACGGCTGCCGCCACAGCCACACCAAGCGCTGCAGACTTTCCACGTCCTCTTCCAGCAGTCAATGTGACGGTGTTCCTCAGGGTTTTTTCGGCGATGGCGTCTACGAACGTGAGAAGAGCTTTGGCTTGGTCCACAGTCTTTGCCAAAGTGACGAGAGATCCAACTGGTTGTGTATCTTGTAAGGCTTCTTTCATACTGTCCAATTCTATCTGTGATTCGCTTTTAGGCTCGTCCAAATCTGGCGGAGGTAGAGCCTTCACGTTCTTTCCGCCAGATATAGGAAGAACATTCAGCTCATCGTCAATCACTAAACAGGACTCGCATTTTCCAAGGGACAAAATGAATCGTTCGTTGAATCTGGCAGTAACATCGTCATGCGCTTCGGTTCGATATCGAGAATGAATATCCATAGACAATGTGTATAATTGCTTCAAACTGTTCATGCCTTTCAGTAGTAGGACCACAAGCCCTCCACCTTCGACTGTTTCAATAGTTCTGGCTAAAAGGTTCGGTGTGATGGCTTCAAAATCCTGCAAAATACACATCCCGAAAGTGTTTCCCAGGATTTTCTCGGTTTCCTTGTAGTAAACATATCGAATGTTGTGCAGCGACACGAAAAGTTCAAAAGGATCTTCAGTATTTGCTTCTCTAATTCCACGTTTGATTTCCTTCTTAATTTTAGTTTCTCTCTTCTTTCGATGACTGTAAGTAACCAATCTATCAGTATGCTGCTTAGAAAGAAAGTGGCCATCTTTGCTACTGACCTCGTGAATCCTAGAAGCTTGTTTTTATATGCCCACATGACTGATTTGTTCTGTTTCATGTCCATACTGGACATAATATAGTGCAGATGTACAATGACATCCTTCGTTCTATCTCCAACAACGACAATGAAACTTCGTTTCTTCTCTTGGATGCCATTGCGAATGAGCGCGGGGATGCGCTGATCCCTATTGATGTTAAGGTCAGTTGTTAAGATAGATACAATTCGGAGTAGCGATTCAAAGCTTACACTGCTTTGCGTTGGCCGACCATGATTTCCAATTCTCCGAGAGATCAAAAACCTATTCAATGGCGATATAAACACCAACAAATTGAGGTAGGTATTGATGCGCCGGGAACTTTTTTTTGGCGATTGCACTTATCTCGAACTTTTTTTCGACAGGGGCATGTGACGCTAAGGCCTTTGGAGTCTAGTGAGTATGCAAGGCTGTCCGCGGATAAGAGCACTTTTCACGAGGCTGATCGTACGTGATCAATAACTGCCTGAATACTACAAAATAAAAACGGCTTCAAGGGTTTCTTGTGTCTGAAGATCGAAGGTAATGTATTAAAAAGCTTATGGGTATTGTGAATTGTCTCGACGGACTTTGGTCAAACTTGAATCTATCATGCTTTATCGCTAGTTATGCTTTTTGATACTCCAAATATGTACCATCCAAATTCCAAATTATAAAGCAATTTCTCAAGAATAATTTACTGCAAAGATTCAATAACAAGAGCAGATGCTCCACCACCCCCGTTGCAAATACCGGCCACACCAATCTTTGCCTTCTGCTCTCTCAGCACATTGATCAATGTGGTGACAATTCTGGCACCGGAACAACCAAGAGGATGTCCTATAGCGACAGCACCTCCGTGGATGTTGACCTTAGATTCGTCCAATCCGAGGATCTTCATGTTTGCCAAAGCGACAACTGAGAAAGCCTCATTGATCTCGTAATAATCAACAGCTGAAGCATCAATCTTGGCGTGCTTCAAAGCTTTAGGGATAGCCAATGATGGAGCGGTGGTGAATTTGCTTGGTGCTTTTTCTGCATCACCCCAACCAAGAATCTTTGCCAAAGGCTTAAGACCGAGTTCCTTCAACTTAGCTTCCGAGACTAGAACAAGAGCTGAAGCACCATCGTTGAGTGGTGCAGCATTTGGTGCGGTGACGGTGCCTCCATTTGGCAAAAAAGCGGGTCTCATAGCCTTGAGCTTCTCAACATTCAAGTTCTTGACCTCATCATCTCTCTCGACCTTGACATTTGGCTTTCCACGGCAACCACTGACTTCAACTGGAACGATCTCGGTCTTGAAGATACCAGCTTCGGTTGCCTTTTGAGCCTTTTGATACGACTTGATAGCATACTCATCTTGTTGCTCTCTGCTAACGTCATGATCGACGTGGCACTCTTCAGCAGCCATTCCCATATGCTCCTTTTTGTTGTAGGCATCAGTGAGACCATCCTTGAGAACACCATCCACCAAAGTTTGGTCACCATATTTAGCACCATTTCGGAGAGTTGGGAGGTAATGAGGAACGTTAGACATAGACTCTGTACCACCGGCTACAACAATATCAGCGTTACCAGTGATGATTGTTTGAGCTGCGAGAATGATGGCCTTGGTTCCAGAAGCACAGACTTTGTTAACGGTAGTACAGACAACGCCTTCAGTGAGTCCGCCAGCAATAGCACATTGACGAGCAGGGTTTTGTCCCAAACTATTCAGATTAGCCTTGAATCATTTACAAACAAGTGATTGGCTTTACTTTGCGGATAAAACATTGCCGAAGAAGATTTCCTCAACATCTTCAGGCTTGATCTCTGGTACACGCTCAACGGCAGCTGAATATCCGTTAGTCCCAGAACTTTCTACGCCAGAAAGATGTAGCGAGCTTACCCTTGATAGCAATACCACCTAATTCAGTAGCACTCTTGCTAGAGAGGGAACCCAAGAATGAACCAATGGGTGTTCTCACAGCGGAGCTATAAACAATAAATAGTTAGCATTTCTCATCTTTGAGGAAGCGGTCACGAGGAAATCAGAGAACATGTATGCCCAGAAAACCATCCAAGTGGTGTGAATCCTGAGGAAGGAGAATAGATAGAAACTTACACAATATAAACTGGAGGAACTGAAGACATTTTTTTGAGTAAAATTACAAGATTTGAAGTTTGTAAATAATATTTTGGGAGAGGGAACAAACCTCAACAAAGCTGGGCGAGTTATTTATGGTGAGGGCGGTGAGGTAAACCGGCAGATCACTAATGAGCCCCGCCTATAGCCTTGAAATCCCATGCCACTTTTGAATCAATGCTTTGTATGTGTTGAGAACAATGTGAAAGGTTTCTCTTCGGACAATAGACATCTAGTAAAAGAGCACAAAAGCAGCCAGAATAGTAATCTAAACTTAATATCTCCGAGGTCGGTAAATGATCTAATCTAATCAATCTCTTCATCTTCATTCTCCACTAGGAATCCATTTCCCTGATTTTCGTTAGATGAAGTTTACCTAATGTGACAAGGCTGTATCACGTGATCCCAAAAAGTCCCATCGCGAAACCTCGAGTTTTCGACGCGAGGCGGGTGAAGTTGTAGCTTCATTTTCTTGACATACCTTTATTTTCATACAATTTTTCTGCGTTTCACTGAATCGCCATGGATGACCTATACGATGAGTGAGTCACCTTGACATCTCGAGCTCTTGGGAAGCTGGGCCATAGCTAATGTTCTTGCAGGTTTGGAAACTTCATTGGTGAGGCCGAGGAGTCGGACGAGGAGTCTCAACAAGGCAATGATGCGAGCGCATACGTCTACGATGAATATCCAGAGGAGGCACCAGAAGAACCCACGGGTCAGGAGTTGATGGACCTTGACGGTTGGTTATAAGCATTTCCTGGAGCTTAGAAGGGCACCAACTAACAACTTTACATCTAGATGAGGGACCTTCGAATGCAGTAATATTACATGAAGATAAGCAGTATTACCCTACTGCCCAACAAGTATATGGAGAGGATGTAGAAACTATGGTGCAGGAAGAAGATGCGCAACCCCTCACGCAACCAATTATAGCTCCGGTCGAACAGAAGAAATTCAACATCCAGGAGGCGGATTTACCACCGGTGTATTTTGATCGAAGTTTCATGGCCGACCTCATGAATTACCCCGAACAAATTAGAAATATTGCTTTTGCTGGGCATCTACATCACGGGAAAACCGCGTTCATGGACATGTTGGTTCTTGAGACTCACGATATTGCCGAGCGATTAGAAAAAAAGACCGGAAGGAAGAAGGATGAGCAATTGCGTTATACGGATATCCACGTTGTCGAGCGTGAACGAGGACTATCCATTAAATCCGCACCTATGAGCTTGGTGCTTCAGAGTACCAAGGGGAAGTCGCATCTTCTGAATATCCTTGATACTCCTGGCCATGTGAATTTTGTGGATGAGGTTGCATCCTCGTTACGGTTGGTGGACGGAGTGGTTTTGGTTGTTGATGTTGTTGAAGGAGTACAAGTCAATACAGAGCGGATTATCAAGCATGCGGTCCTGGAAGGTCTGCCCTTGACTCTTGTTGTCAATAAAATGGATCGTCTAATCTTAGAGCTTAAGCTACCACCTACGGATGCTTATTTCAAGCTGAAACATGTCATTGAAGAAGTCAATACTGTGATCGAGGCTACTTTACCAGGTCAAGGCGAGAGCCGACGACTTAGTCCAGAAAAGGGTAATGTTCTTTTTGCCTGTACCAGTATGGGATGGTGCTTCACGTTACAATCATTCGCGAAAATGTATGCGGACAGTTACGCCCCAAAGAAGAACCGAGGTCCCGGTTTGAACAACGAGGGGAGTGGTATCAATGCACACGAGTTTGCGAGGAGATTATGGGGCGACATTTTCTACAATCCCTCAAGGAGGTCATTCACTCGAAAGGGTGTTGAGGAAAAGTCAAAACGCTCTTTCGTCAATTTCATCCTGGAACCAATCTATAAATTATACTCGCATACCATTAGTGAGAGTCCAGAGGATTTGAAGGATACTCTGGAATCCCTTGGAATATTCCTCAAGCCATCACAATACAAGACGGATGCCAACGTCCTTCTGAAACTTGTTTGTGAACAATTCTTCGGCCCATCGACCGGGTTCGTCGATATGGTCGTACAACATATACCTTCTCCGGTGGAAGCCGCAGAGAAAAACTTGGAACACCACTATACTGGCCCATTGGATACAACGGTCGGAACGGCTATGAAGAATTGCGATCAAGATGGTCCATTGGTTATTCAAATAACAAAGCTTTTAAACACTAGCGACGCTACAGGATTTTACTCATTCGGAAGAGTGTTAAGTGGTATTGCACGAGCAGGCACCCAAGTACGAGTCCTTGGTGAAGGATATTCAATCGATGATGAAGAGGATATGAGTGTTGCCACCATATCGGATGTGTGGATAGCTGAAACAAGATACAATATCCCCACAGACGGAGTTCCTGCCGGCAATTGGGTTCTGCTTGGGGGTGTGGATAATTCGATTGTCAAATCTGCAACAATTGTACCCCTTGTTTTGCCAAATGACGAGGAGGCATACATTTTCAAACCTATTACTCATTTCACCGAGTCGGTCTTCAAGGTAGCAGTGGAGCCGATCAATCCTTCTGAGCTTCCTAAGATGTTGGACGGTCTACGAAAGATCAACAAAAGCTATCCTCTTATCACGACAAAGGTAGAAGAATCTGGCGAACACGTCATTCTAGGCACGGGAGAACTCTATATGGACTGTGTCCTGCATGATCTCCGACGATTATATGCAGAGATGGAGATTAAAGTTTCCGATCCTGTCACACGCTTTTGTGAGACAGTCGTTGAAACATCAGCTATCAAATGTTATGCCCAGACACCAAACAAGAAGAACAAGATAACAATGGTGGCAGAACCTCTCGACCAAGGTATTGCTGAAGACATTGAAAGTGGAAAGGTCAGCATCAAAAGCCCTGCTCGAGTTATTGGCAAATACTTCGAGGAGAACTATGGTTGGGATTTATTGGCTTCCAGAAGTATTTGGGCATTTGGTCCCGACGACTTGGGACCAAACATCTTACAAGATGATACCATTCCATCCGAGGCAAGTACATTCCAGCTGCCCGCTTACCCTTTCTTAGTAGCTAGTCTCCTAGCCAGGCTAGAGCTACTATCGTGAGTGCCTGCATAGGCTAAATAGCCGTTGTGTTGCACAAACGGAATTATTCGGCCCTTCTTATGCTGACTGATCTACAACAGGTGGATAAAAAATCACTACTTAGTGTACGAGATACCATTCGACAAGGATTTAGTTGGGCTGCTCGAGAAGGACCATTGTGTGAAGAACGTAAGTTTCCACTCATCTTTCATTTATCCTTTTCCCCAGACGGCCTTCCTTCTCCCTTAACCCGATCGCTCCTAGGTCATCATTGATCGTAATTGTGGACGACCTCAAACCACAATATTACTGAATTAATATGGAAACTTCCGTCCACTACTTTCGCACAGACCCTTCAGCTACAATCATACCCCTGAACAAATTTTCATTGGTTCATCTATCCGAGTTAGTGCTAACATCCCTTGTAGCAATCCGCAATAGTAAATTCAAGATAACAGACGTGATATTGGCTCCTGAAGCGATCTTCCGGGGTGGTGGTCAAATCATTCCCACATCCCGACGCGCATGTTATTCTTCCTTCCTAATGGCTTCCCCAAGATTGATGGAACCTGTCTACTCCTGTTCCATGACCGGACCTGCAGATTCCGTCACTTCGCTCTACACTGTACTTGCCCGTCGTCGCGGTCACGTCTTGTCTGACGGACCTATTGCTGGTACACCTCTCTATCGCGTCAGTGGACTCATCCCTGTCATCGATTCCTTTGGTTTCGAAACCGATCTCCGCATTCATACTCAAGGTCAAGCAACCGTTTCTTTAGTCTTTGATCGCTGGAGTATCGTCCCCGGTGATCCGTTAGATAAAGATGTTATTCTTCGACCTCTCGAACCAGCAGGCGCACAAGCTACAGCGAGAGATTTTGTCCTCAAGACAAGAAGAAGAAAGGGTCTCAGCGAAGATGTAAGTGTGGCTAAATTCTTAGAACCAGAACTCTTTGCTAGTTTGAAGGAAACGGGTATTTTAGACGGGTAGGTAGGGTATATCGAGTAATTCTATCAAACGCGCGTCCTGATGGAAGGATGAGCTTGGCAGAGATCTGTGAACCTGGGGATTGATTATCTCATACTACATAAGGTGTGATCGTTCTTCCAAATCTAGAAGGGAAGTGATATATCATATGGGCGTTTTTGGGTGGTTCGTGCATAGCGAATTGAAACTACTAAATAAATGAAAAATAATTAAGACCTGTATATGTATGCGCCTTGGTGTGTATGTGCAACTGTGAAATAATACATCAACAAGAAATCGAACTACAGTAAAGTAACATATTAGAAATTAGACCACAAGAATCCTGGGAGGTGTTTCTGCATGAAACTGGGGATGGTGGGTTTCCCACTGCACTCTGTGCATGTTCGTCGACTGCAGTTACGCTGGGATATTGACAGCAGTAGCTCGAGTATTGTCGATTTACTTTTATTTGCAGTGCACACTCAGCATTTATAATATTGGAGCGCAGAACTCAAAAGCTGGTTTGGGTGAGACAAGACTCAAGAGAAGTGGAAGATCATCCGATTGAGAGGGCTGCTTGACATTGGTGATCATTTTGAGTGGAAATCGGATTGGAGATGGATGATAGATGTGGAGTCGCTTGACTAATAGCTGCAGGTGTGCAGATATGCATTTGAACAATCTAAGGCTCTCTGCGTCTCATGATACTTATCTCCATTGTTCCATCTGCATGTGCCTGACACCTACTCTGTCAGTCAGTGATGGCTGAATAAGTAAGGCGATGATATGGAAAATCGGGATACCTGTGCATACAAAGTAACCTCACATGATTTAACCCCCCCTGTCTCTGCTCATTCACGAGTCGCGAACATACAAACAGAAACAGAGATACCGAAAGCTCGGGATCTCTGGATGGGCGAAACTTTCTTTCACTTCACCCACTTGTTCAGTAGATCGTAGAAGAAGAAAGGCAGGAAGCCGCTATGCAGAGGGAATCGCAAAATGGATTGGTACGGGAATGGGAATGGAAAAACTATTGTTCCTTCCATATGTATCCCTGGGATTTACGTTTCTGTACGTATAGGTATATGTGTTTATGTATTGACCCTGGCTATTGATCTGAAGGTGGATTACTCGATTCATAGAACGATTGGAGGGATGCATGCATCTGCTTTGTAAACATTAAGTTATGCAGGCTTTTGGTTTCGGTACCTGGGAGTTGGCATTGTGTTGCTAATGTCATGTCATGTGTACGATTGTAAGTAATTTTAAATAGTAGTACATACATGCAGTAGGCGCTGGACATATACATGCGTAGATATGGATTGCATGTCAAGAGAAATTTGGTGGATGTATTATGGTAAGGCTACAATCGCTCGAAAACAGTATCTCTCCGGAACTCTCCAATTTCGATTATCCTTGAAACGAAATACAGAAACAACATCTGTATGGGTATTAAGACCAAAGAATACCGCTATGCGTCGGTACAATAAAGAGAAAAATTTAGTCCGTCAGAGTGGTTTCCTTCGCTACAAACATCCGCCCTCCAAAAGAAAAAAGTAAGAGAGGATGAAAGATGATCCGCGTGCGCGCGCGGATATGCACGGATAATTGATTAGATCTATCACTCTTCCTCCTAATGCAGTCATCAATTGAACTTACACACAAGTAGTTCAGGGCGCAAATGTTACCACTTCTTGAATCTTGATTCCTCTATGCTCACATCCTTCTTTTGCATCACACAATATTATCCAATCAAATAATTCACCAGGTGGCATAAATGTTCCATAGATTTAATACATTTATGCGGCTCGGTGATGCCGATATGTATGTACTATGCATGATGTTCGAAAGTGTGAATGGATGGAAGCGGCTACTTGTCGTTAAGTGATATTGTATCATAATGAACATGGATGATGAAGTTTTTGATCTGAATGGTTGTCAGATTTCCATCTGATCAACGAACGAACGAAGTGGTGGAAATGCTGGGCGAGCCCGGAAAACTATATGCACTAGGACTAGGATATTGGTACGTCGGGCTAAATGGGCTAAAGAATAACTGAGTATCAATGTTGGGGTAGGATACTTTGTAATTAGTACAATTCCTGTTCCAATGAAGATACAGGGGAGTAATAGCAATTCCTCAACGAAGAAACTCAATGCAGTTGGGGGTGGCAAGTGCGGATTGGAAGAGTTTGAATTCCGTGGGGGTAAATTGGGAAAAAGAGGAAGGACGTCGCAAGGTTACCCAGCATTGACTTATCCAGGGAGGAATCACAGCACGTTTCTCTCGTAAACTTTGTGCCTCGTGAAAATCTCGTGTCTACAGTGTCCGGGCGAGGATAATGACAGGCCCAAGAAACGTAAAAGAGGCGAAGGGCGGGGGTCTGTATATTAAGCACGTGTGATGGAATTGTTCTAGATTCAAGGATTCAAACTTTTGAGGTCTCCGAAACCTTCTTTTCATGGGATTTGGAGAATTATGCTTATCTTGTGTGGGGAACTGGTGAGAAGCGAAGACGAAGCAAAGGGTTGAACCTAGCCCCTGAACATGAGATGAATGGGTGGCATTAAATGTCGTGCAGTATTGTCAAATGTGATGAGAAAGCTTTAGATGAAATTAACAATTGCCCATCAAAGGAAAGAGAAAACGAGGGTCTACGTAAGCTTTATGACACTTTTTTGTCACTACCACCACCGAGGCATGATTGATTAAGCCCTAAGGTTGTAATCTGCGAGGACACATCTAGTGGGTCGAATGGTCTCGAGTTGCTTGGGAATGAGGGAATATTGTGAATAAGTGGAGGTGCTGTTATGTTTGTGGGGGTAGAATTTGCATGGGAGCCCTGTCAGAGAGTCGACTTTTGGTAGGTCGACAAGCTTTGCAATGTGGACATGTGGATTGGTGGCACCTTTGCAGTAAGGATGGAAAGTTTGATTGGCTGTCAAAAAAGGCATTTATGAAGCGGGTTTATGGTAGTCCATGACACTTGTGGAGATCGACGATCGACGATGGGAGAGTTATTTAGAACTACTAGAACTTTGTGAACCATACCGATTGAACTTTGGGGAATATTGTGACACAAATTAGACAACAAGGCGCAGAAAGACTCGCCAGGAGTTTCTCTTTGACGAGCACAGTACCTGTATCGTGATGTTACACGCACACACACATGCACATGCACATGCCAAAATCGGGATGTAGTACTTGGTGTGGATTTTTGTGATGATACTTCATATTATTCGTAGTTCATTAATTGGGGACGGATCTGCGTAACTTTAGAAAGTATCAGAGCATTGCGGAAGTGATCTCGTATGTGGCAACGGTTTTGTAGATTTTCCTCGTAACGAGGAGTTCCCGGCACTGGCTAAAGCAGTCTCACAGAAATCTTATGTCTGTGGTTATGATATCATTAGCCATCAAGACAGGTTTTCATCATCTTCCTTAGCAAATTCATGAGATTATCATTCTCGAGGGCAGCCGCAACACGCTCCTTATCAGCCAGTTGTTTGTTGACTTCATCAGCTTGACTGTGTGTATCCTTCTTAATCTTGACCTCGACTCGGTATCCTGGCGGAAGAGCTTGTTCCAAACGTACTCGCACGCCAAGTCCAATAACGGTTGCTAGGGAGCAATGTGAAACCGTTGGCGTCAATTCAACCAGTACGCGAGACAGTGCTGCTGGGTTTGTGAGATCAGGAGGCGAAACAAGATGAACATCCTCAAGCTTAACTACTCCGAGAGACTCCAATGAAAGAGGGTGCTCGGGGTCGGAGATTGGTGCAATCAAGTCTTCAAAATGTCAGCTATGCACACTTTGGAAAGCGAGTGACCCAATTTAATACTGAATTCGGATAGCGCTAGTCATAATAGTGAATGGTGAAGAGGTATCAGGAAATTCATTCGATTTCTAGATACTGATAATTGTACGTTTGATATGTGACACGACGCTGGGATATATCGAGAACCCGAAGAACAATTGGTATCAAGTGAATTGGAAATACGTGAAATGCTTACCATAGATTTCCTGTTCATCTATTGGCTCTAAGCCAGAATCTTCCGAGTCTGAGTCTTCATCTGAGAAATCTGACATGTAGAAAGGATCCAATGCATAGCTGGGTTTCGCCATCAATATACTCTGTATACCATGTCTCTTGGCCGAATAATCTCGAACCTTGCGCTTTTCTCTTCGACGTGATATTTCGGACACATTCAAGATCGTAGGATTCGCATTGTCTGCCGATGCCATATTGAGATGGGTTGGGGGTCACTTGGGGCTCTGCTGGCTAACAGGAATGGTTTTCCTATGCTAGTTGGATAGCTGACGACTTCAACGTTGTGACTCGGGTTAGATATTTTCAGCTGGACTTGCGAGTCGATAGGCAGCGGAGTGTTGAATGGATTGCAGGTTACAGATGTAAGAGCTATGGTGTCCTGAAATATTGAACGTAAATTTGATAATGACGAAGAGGTTTATCAAATTCCCTTTATCGATAAAGCGAAGTGGGATCAATCTGAAACCTGAGGCATGATATCAAATTATGACTAATCACTTAATGATCGAGGAAAGCCAAGGACAAGTATTGAGCGTAGAAATCGTAAATACGATGATAAATCATAAATACACCAATAAACACTGGAAATTTTTGCGTTTGTAGTGCCCTCGTTGCATTTCTAGACAAGTCCCTATTTTTCCCAGCTCTCTGTTGTTATAGTAGTCCTATTTCATAAAGTGTCCATCTCCATCTTGTGCAAAGTTTCGAGTCCCGTATTGGAGACTAAACTTTGATATTTGTGGCATACTCCGTACAATCCCATGGCCAGAACTTGGAAGCTCAAGGGTGTATCAAAAGCTCACCTCAAAGTCTAAATGTTCTGAGAAGATTCATAAAGATCAACAAGCACGAGCCATCTGCATCTCGTGGCGATCCTGCGCTTCCAAGGTTAAAGGTTCCGTGCTATACTCGTTTCCGTCCCGGAAGATCTTTAAACCTGGTCTCTTCATATTTGAGATTGCCAGACAAATGAAACTCGTCGGCAACTCTGAGTAGCTTCAGATGATCTGATCAGACAAGCTTTGATCCGAATGTCCGTGATGAACGGTGTAGATTTTGGAATTCGGACTATTATTCTTTTGCTTTCCAAGAAATCAGCTTCAATATACGTTCCAGGTAAATTAGACTACCACTGCCTGTGCGTCTCACCAAGCCAATGGCCTTCTACGCCCTTGTCGGCAAAACAAATACTGGAATCAGCTTATGGCGGCCATAAAATCTACCTTTTTAATGACTCTTCTATGCGAAGGATTGCTGGCTCGAAGAACTGCAAGGGGGAGAAGGGTTGTGGAGGAATTATCGATTCATCTGCAGAATATAGGCAATTTTTGTCTATCGACGCCCAAAGCCATCAAACCCTTTTTCTCACTCCCAGCAACAAAACTTGCCCATAACAAGACCTGCATACATTCTTCCCTTGTGAACAATCTTCAATGGACATGAGATATCTTTGAACCACTGAACCATATTACCGGGTTCGTCTCTGCTTGTCGAGTGGCTGCGGTTTTAGGGCGCGGAATCATGAGGTTAAAACATCCAATCTTTTGGCTTGTTCTGAAATCCCAATGTTCCTTGTCAGAGCCGTATCGCATGTGCATTGTTCGCTGCATTTGCTGGCAACTGCGTCCCATATCGCCTGAGAACTGACACCCGGCGACCTTTTCTGGGGCAGCTTAGAGGCTAGTACGGTGTTTGCGGGGCAGTAGTACCTGTCTAGAGATCCTTGAATCCACTCATCATCTAAAGAGAGGCATTATTAATGGGGCACTTTTCTGAGAATGTATTGAAAATATGCAAAAATACATTAGACAGATGCAACATGCACAGCGACACTCTCAATATTGAATGGTTCTTCCTTCATGTATTTTCGTATTTACCTGCACATGCCCCCAGTACTTCGGCATGGAAGTGCTTTTCACACACCGCCGACGCCATGAAATCACCACAGACGTCTTGAAACAGACAATCTATTTGTTGTTGTACAAAAGTTGCTCGATGTACAGTACTTTGATTGTATCGTAAGTTCGTGATAGAGGTGATATACGCCTTAAGTCCTAAATTACTAGGACTTTTCGGTGATATAACGGTATCGTTATCAATCAAATGAAAATGAGTTGAGGGGCAGAATAAATATCCGTTCGTTATGTGCGAGTACGACGGACCAACGATTAACACTTTTTCCTGTTTCTTTTCTACTGCCTGCATTAGAAAAGAAAAGAATGGTATATATTTGCCGCGATTACCCCTCACAAGGCCCTAAAACACCCTAAAAACGAACGCCTAACCGTATAGAAGCAACCTCGGACCATTGTCATAGACCTAAAGTTCTATGATGCTTCTAACTCTGAACCCTAAATCCAAGTACCTATGATCTAGCGGTAGGTGCCGATGTGAAGTGCTTACAGCCTTCCGCACCTCCTGTAGCACAAACTCATTTCCAGGAACGATGCCTGCATTTTGTGCCCCACAATATTGAATTATTCTTTACTTCTTTCTTCCTTTCTCACGAATCAGTATGTATGAACATGACAAATGTGAAATATATTCAACTTCTTGCATTTTGACATGTTAAATGTGGTACCTATCATCCAGGAGGCCATTGTGGGTACAGGACTAAGAGAGCATCACATCCTTCCCACTGATCACCGTTTCATACATCCCAAACTAGTTTACCATGCATCACCGGTCCGAAGGCTACATTCTACGGGATCTTTTACCTGTAGGGTGATGAGCGAGTTGGTAAGGACCTTTCGATCAATCTTGTTTGTGAACTCGCGATCCCATGGCTATCTTCGAGACATTAACCCATATAACCTACACGAATGATTGAATAGCATAGACGCCTCGGTAAATTTAGGCCCTATTTTGTAACCACCGAAAAGCCTTCTCCCCGGAAACTTACAGTAGCACCGGGTACCTGTTTCTGTCTGTACCCGTACCAATTACCATTTCAACAACATTACGAATGAAGATAAGATGAATGAATGCATGTGATAACAGGAATGACAACCGAGATTCCAAGAGTTAATGTCTTCGGCAGTATCCGCGTCAAGACGAAGGTGTATCAGGCAGTTTTATCGAGATTACGAGTGAGGAATAAGGAGACCTGCCGTATTCTTTCTTGGGCTCCCCCCGTTCTTTCCCATATTGATAATAATTTGGTGATTTCACTAATATATTGAAAAGAGGCAAAGAGGGGCCAACCTTATTGGATCATTACCAAATACAAACACCACTTTAAATTCGGACTTCAAGTCTTCCCATTCCGACTTTTTCTTTCGTTGACAGGGAAGTTGGGTACGATACTATTTTCTACCTCGTAGAAACTAGAAGGATGCTACATCATAATTCATAAGTCCGTCTCTTCTATTGAACTTCCTTGAATTTCCCCCTTCTATTTTAGAGAGATTGTCCTTCAAGCACTTTGGAAGTTCCCGGTTCTAGGCAAAACACTATCTCCTTCTTTTTGCCTAGATACGTACTGGCCTTCTCAACTGTTAGCAACAGAGGTACCTATCACTACTGTATGTTGACCGGGATTTTGGAAACCAGCCGTTTCGAGTTCCCTGCTATCACCTCCCGGCATACTCACTTGCGGGTCTTTTCTTGTCAGACCTTAGCTTGCCTGAGTCCTTGACACCCCATACAACAACATCCATGGTCCCATAAATCCATTATCACCCATTATCCCTCCTTCCACGCCTGCATGAGGTAAATACCCTCACGCCTAACACTTCGGTAAGAGAAATTTGGGATTTATTGGGAATTGCGTCTATACCCTTACCTATCCATTTACCCTACCTATCTATATCCATACCCACAGCAAATTTATAGGCCAATCCAATATTATTGTCCATCTAATACCTAATGCTTTATAGATTCTGGTCTGGAAGGGTGTTCATCTTTCTCTGGCATCACTTGCACTAAATTATACTTTTTTACTGTGGCGCGACCCTAGATCAATTCAAGCTTCTATCGAGTGCGGAGTACTCCCACTTAGTATCTGTACATACAACTACCATCTTCAATCGATTCTGATCAAATACTGCATCAAAAGAAATTACACCGTCTGTCAAAAGTTGTCAATCTTCTTTCCTTTTCTATGGGGCAACACTTTCTTCATTTAATACACAATATTAGTATACCCCAACCTTGATCAATTGGTACGTGAGAGAAGTAGGCGCATGTTGTGCTACTCATGATGCCTTCAATTGTAGATGATTAGCTGACCCTGATCGACTTCCGCAGTTTCATTCTTCGATATCCTTGAACTTCCGATACTCCGCCATTCGATTTCAAACCTCCAGCTTCGTGGCCCCTCGAATTAGTCTGAACAAAGTCCAATTTGTGCTTATTCTGGACTTCGAACGTGCCCCCTCATCCGGATGCGGCCAAAGTGATTGAATTTTGGGTTCACGACACTCCGCTTCCTCAATTCTGTTCTCAATATATCGACGATCCTCACTGAAAGAGGCTATTTCCCTTCTCATCAGATACTCGATAAATAGGCGCCTATAACCGCGATACGACATCGTATAGCAAGCCGAATTCGCATTTCAAAATAGGATATGTCCCAAGACCTTGGAACAAGGAGACTACTCCCCCAAAGCTCACAAATGCAGAACTTTTCGTTTGCGCCAACAAACTTTGGCCCAAGAGAGAATCAAAAAAGTGCGCGATCTTGCTTCGTTTGGGCATTTTGGAGTTGACATGGGCTGATATATCTTAGATTATGTCTTTGTTGACGAACACAATCGCCACAAGCGTTTGAAGGGTATGAGATTTCCTCAGTCCATGCGCATTCCTCTACTAATGTAGCATAGTGATGCGAGCTTGTGAAGGATGTCGAAGAAGAAAAATTAAGTGTGATGCTGCAACAACGAACACATGGCCATGCTCCGCTTGCACAAGGCTCAAGCTGGGATGTGTCCCCCCAACAGTAAACTACGATCGCGATTTCCAGCAAAGCAATCAGACTTTTGAAGCAGAAGCACCGCAATACGATAATGGTGGAAATCCCAGCGGTGGGTACCATCAGCAAGTTCCAGTACAACAGCAAATGACAGGCCCCTCCAAGGTGGTGCCTCCAATTTACACACAACAACCTCCATATCCCGATCCGAATAATATGTATCAATCCATTCCATACGGAGGACCCTCGAGTGCACATAGTCAACAGAGTATGCATTATAATAGTCTTCAAACTCCAGTCAGCGCACTCAGCCAACATACGGAATACTCGCCACAGGCGGTATATCCCCCAGCCCCTCTTCAGCAACAAACACATGATTCACCGGAAAATTATACCCATAGTGAATACAGCGGGGAGGATTTGGCCGACTTGCTAGGAGAACTTAAGATGAACCCCGCAGGAACAGGTAAGCGATTTGCTCGTCAATTTAAGTTGTAGTTCTGATGAAGAAACAGCTCCATACTTGAACAACAAGAACAGGACCAGAGCGTTAGTAGAAGAACCAGCTTTTGAAGACATCGATGAATACAAAAACGCTCTACCTCCAATTACATTGAGCGCAGACATGAAGATTAGAATACCTCCCGAGTTGCTTCCAGACGAACAGACCATCCTTCATTATTTTGAGATGTACTTCACCAATGTACATCCATATGTACCTGTCCTTAACAAAACTTTATTTTACCAACAATGGCATACAAATCGAGATGCTATTTCACCTTTAATACTGGAAGCCATTTTTGCAATCGCTGGAAGACTTGATGATGAACCAGCGCAGGGCCATCAGTGGCTCGCCCTTGCTTCTAGTAAGACTTCATCTTGCAGCTAAACGAATCAATCCACTAACTTCATATAGAACACGCCGATGCTTTTATGGATGTTCCGCGATTGAGCACTCTTCAAGCAAACCTTATAATACTGAAAGCCAGAGAATCCGCTCCAAAGCGCGGATATTATTATCGTTCATGGATGACTGTAGTAGCATGCGTTCAAATGGCCAAGGATCTGGGTCTAGATGAGCACTATGAAGATCACAAAGCAGGTCGATCATGCAATTCTGATCTTGCTGACTGCATCACCAAAACCCGAATATGGCAAACCATATTCGTTTGTGAATTGATGATCGGTTCTCCACAAGGCCGGACGGATCTCGCGGTCGACATGGAAACACTTGACTTAAGTGTTCCCAGAACTGGGATCGACAATGGGGAACTCGCTATTACGCGCAATTTCACTTGGTTCACGCGTGTTGTTCGCAATGTTCGGAGAATGAATAATGTTTACGCAAAAGTCAAGAAGAGAAAGGAGTGGGGTATCGATCCAGATTTCGTACAACTCAACCCTTCTTTCGAAACTTGGATGAATGATCTTCCCGAAAACCTACAGATTGATTTTCCAGCCGACGGTTCCCCTCCATGGCTACCGACTCACTTCATCGGCAATCTTCACTCCTACTATTACCTAAGTATCATCATGCTTCATCGCCCACAACTCACTTTCATGGAACCAGGAATGGACGGGTGGAAACACCATATGCTCATATGCTATAATTCTGCAAAACTCTTATGCAGACTTCAAGAAAGTGTCTTGCAGTCATTTGGATTAACTGGTCTATTATGCATGCAACGCGGAATCAACTTCACTATCTATTGTGTTCTGACTTGCACAGTTCTTCACTTGGTATGTACAACAGCCATTTTACTTTTTTTTTTTTTTTTTTTTTCAGAATATGTTGACAATCTTATAGGTTGCGATCACATCCCCGGATCCAGACTTGAACTCAGACGCCCGGGAATATTTTACCAGACATATGAGAATCCTAGAAAAATGTACCAGCTCATGGCCCATGCCAGATATGCAACAACAGATTGAGTCACTCAGGCAGGCATTTTCAGCTGACACTAGGAAACCTTTCGTTCTGAAGCCATCTTTTCCTTATGGGAGCCCAGCCGCACCACCCCATACTAGTCCTGCAAGAGGAAATGTTCAGCAGTATCGTCAAGGAAGCACCTCATTGGAGAGTCAAAATTTGGGACATCAAAATGCCCAACAGCCACAAGTCAGTTACACAAGCCACCCCATATCACCACCCATTTCAGCTGGGGGCGTAGACACGAAAAGTGACTCTCCCGCTGTACAGTCTCTGGTCATGATGGCCACTGGTCAAAGAACCCCAGTTCCAATTACGAGCGGGCTTCAAATGGCAGATAATTCGTCATGGAACCCGTCAAGAATTTTTGAGTAAGTTGATTCCCGACCCGCACCTCAAAAGCACAAGTACTGATCGTATCACCTTAGCCAATGGAACAGCACTTTCGGTACGCCTCCCGCTTCGAGCAGCTCTGCTTCTGAAACGACCCCTCCTCTAAAAACTCCCTCTTCAGGTGCACAAGAACTCCCGACACTCCCAGAAATGCAAATTCTTCCCAACGTGAGCTTACCGCCAGGCTCACAACCTATGCCTCCACAACAATATTCTGGAGCCGCCATCCCCTCATTTGTGAGCCCAAGTATGTGGCAAGAATCAGTCGCGAATGTGTATGAAAGCGGAATCAAACGACATTGGGATTACTCAGATCCAAATGAGATGGTGAATCCGATCGCAAAACGAAGAGGTTGATCGTCTCAATCTGGTAAAAGGTGAAAGGTGAAAGGTTGTAGGTACGGATACGTACGATTAATGAACGGCAATCGAATTCGATGTCAGAAAAGCCAGACCCATATACACCCCATACGCACACTTCATTCTATCCTGGAGATTAATTGTCTATTTTACATTCTGTACGGACGGGTCGATGGATCCGATAGATCTAATTTCGGGTATACATACGTCTTGGCTCGACCGACGCGTCACGATTTCCATTGATATTCAGGGTAAATTTCCGCATCACGTCGGATTGTTCATATTTTGGGTCAAGAAATTATCAAATGAGTACATAAATAAATTTCCATGCACAATTTCGAGGAGCATGGGTGGAAAAGGTCAGGTTCATCAGATAGGGAGTCGTACACTGGATAGGATTGCTGGATTGGCTTGAAAGCAGGATGAAGACGGAGCGATTGGGCGTATCATTGGGTTTGGAATGGCTGGAAAAGTGTTTTTCATTGGCCAAGACAATCGCCGGTTTGCTTGGAGATCTTGGAAACTTGACATTGGTATAATGATGGGATGCAGCAGCATAGAAATGGAAGGAGAAAAATGTGTTAGGCTGGACAAATGATGCATTGATGCTGTATCTAACCGCGAGAAATGCTGTGGCACGTGGTAGGGAATGGAATGACTTGTATGCTTGATATGTTATTACGTTATCATATGTTGGTGGCTGCATTGTATGTATGTATGTGTTTCAATGGTGCATTTGTGCTTCTTAGAAATAAAGACTCGTCATATCCTTGATTATGTGTATATGGGAGAACTGGCAAAGGGTTACGAAGCGGGGTTAGAAACGGCTGGATACACACATGTATCTATGCCGGTCACAAAGGCATATGCGAGTTAGAAAGGAGAAACGTTGCAAAACTGCGAGATAGTATTAAGCGGAACCTAAACCGAAACCGAATCCCAACCCATATCCATACCGAACCAAATGAACTCAATTCAAATCAAAAGCAAAAATCAACACACCTAAACTAATAAAAAATAAACCCAAAATAGCAGAACACTGAAGGTGAAAACCAATCCACAACAGATAATAGTGAGACGTGAAACCTCGATACGCCATCTCTTCACTTCCAAGAAACGACGGGGTTTCAGTTCATGTAACATATATACCGTCTTTCGACCTCCTATGTCTTCCTCTGCGTTCTCAGAAAGATCTTCTTTTGAAGGTCCAAACATGTTATCCATCGAATCTCCAAACGTCCCAACTTCCACCAAGCTGTACAGAAATCCACCTCCCACCGCCAAAATGATCCCGAATATATGAGCGAATCCTGTGAATGATGCATTCGCATCTCTAAAAATCACAATTGAAATCGCAATCGAGATGACCTGTTTGATATTCCCCAACACGGCCATCGTGAGGGCGCCTGCTTTTTTATTCGTGGTGAAACTCGACCAGTTCAGCAGGAATGCTACAAGACCGTTCGTGAGGATGAGAAGGATACCAGAGTGAGAAGTCGAGAGGGGAGAAGAAGTGGAGGATATTTGTTTTACGGGAAATTCGTCGATTTCGCCGTTCATGTAGGACCAGATTGTGGCTTGGATGCCGGCGAGGGGGGCGACGTGGTGGATGATTGTTAGGGCGGGGATGGAGAGGTGGGTTTGTAGGGAGTTAGTTGAGAGGGTTTTGCAGGCGGAGAGGAGGGCGCCGAGGAGACAGAGTATCGTGGTGTCGAGAGTGAGGGTTAGGGAGTCGTGGGAGACGAGGAGGACGCCGAGAGTGAGGGGGAGGAGGGAGAGGATGGTGAGAGGGGAGTAGGTTCTTGTGTGTAAACGGAACAGGGAGGAGATGATGAGGACGAAAATGGGGATGGTGGAGCGGATTACTAGGTGGTCGGGGATAGTCATTATTCCACTATTGGGGGGTCAGTTGGGATTTGAATGGAAGAATGACGACAGAGAGTAAAAATGTGAAGACTTACAGTGAGACATTGCTGACTGCAATATTGATCGTGTATAAGATCGAGAATAAGAGTATGTAATAATTCTTTCTTTGACTTCGATGTTCAAGATTTTGAGAATCGAGTCGTCGAGAAACATACGTGCCCATGGAAGAGCATAGTGCGTGCCAGGCTGTAAGAAGCCATGGGTATGGATACTATGGTTTGTTAGTATGGTGACTTCTTGTGACGAGATTTGAAAGAACGTGCTTGACAGAGAACAATTTTGTTCAAAAGTGTGAGGAGCAAATTCAAAGCTAGGTAGATTATGAGATGGGATTCGGGAGTGTTGAGTGAGCAAGTGTAGCGAATCATGGCGGCCGTGAGGAGTGGACTGGAGATGGAGTTGGGAGAAGTTGAGAGGCCATCTTGCAGCTAAATAATTGAGAGATTACTAGAACTCGAGGGTAGTAGCTATCAAAATTGGCTTCTGGTCGTCACATTCTGTCCGTAACAAGGGTGAGTCGCAATCGAGGCTGATAAGTCTCGAGAGAATAATCGACTGCACCTTCCCAAAGGGATGATATTGAAGGAGGTGATTTCCGGAATAGGTTTGATGGGAGTAAAACAGGCGAAGAAATATGCTTTATAGAATGTCGTAACAATCCATTAGGTAATCGTCAGTGCGATCCCATTGCATCTCCTCGAAGCTATTGATATGCTGCGAGTATTCGTCTGTACACCCTGCTCCATGAATTAGAAAACTTGTATATGACTGTATGAAATGAAAGAAAATATCAAGAACTTACAATCCATCTCCTCGGTAATTCTCTGGTTCTCCGAATCAAAGTAAAATTCAGGAGAAGGAGGCTCGGCGGGAATTGGAGCGGCGGGTCGATGAGGACAGAACTTAATAGGTTCCGAACCCGGCGAGAAAAATGGTGAGGGAGGTTGTTGTTGCGCATAAAAAGGAAGGAAGACAGGAGGAAGAGGCATTGGTGCAGGTACTGTTTGTGCCGGTGCGGGTTGCCAAAACGATGCCGAAGAGAAGAGGTTTGGAGCGACAGGATTTGGCGCTGGTGCTGTTGCCGGTACGGGAGGGGTAGAAGAGAAGGAGAAAGGTGCCGAGCCAAACATTGGCGCTGGAGCTGGGGGTGCGACAGCAGAAGTGACCTGTGGCGGCTGAAGGAAGGTGAACAGAGAGGAAGCCGGGAAAGTTGGCGCTGGTGCTGGTGCCGAAGGTACCTGGGGAAGAAAAGACGGGGGAGTTGATGCGAGCGCAGATGGGGTGGTAGATGGAGTATAGGGAGGAAGATTTCCGTATGGAATTGGAGCCTCCGCTGTTGGTGGAAGGAAGGACGATGGAACGTATGGCGGTGGAAGGTGAGGAGCTGGTGCCGGAGAAGAGGTTGGTTGTTGGTTGAATAAGTTACCTGCCATTGAGAACGGGGTGCCATTATTACGCTTTGGCGGGGCTACCGCTGGAGGAGTGTTTGCGGGAGTGGAGAGAGCTGGAGCTGGAGCTGGGGTGCCGAACGTCGAATGTCCGTTCTTGGTGGTAATGGAACTGGTCTGCCCCTTCTTTTTTGGAGCAACAGCATTGGCTGCCCATGCAGCGTTGGGTGGGAGATCAGGATTCATTGTTAAATCTGAGAACCAGAAAGCTTTGAGAAGTTGTATTATAGCAAGTAAATTGCTGATGAAAGGCAGGAATTGATGTGATAACCTTCTTTGAATTGCTTTCGTATGAAGAGGAAAAGATGAAAAAAAAGGATTGAGAGAAAGACCAAAGTTCCTATTGATATAACTTTGCGGTACAGCTCAGCCATGCCAATTACGCTAGTAAGTAATTGATTCTACTAAAGTGATAGAACTGACACGACTGTAGAATAGAAATGATTCGTTTGGCCATGAATACAATGAGATTAGACTTGAAAGTGAATGATATGTGGAATAGAGATTCACTTTTCTTTTGCAGGCATTGACGTCTATCATATTGTCTCTCGTGAAATGGAACAATAGAATAGACAACATCACTAAAGATCGTATAAACAATAGTGAAAGCAAACTGCTACGCGGGAAAGACGTCTTGCAGACTACTCTCCAAATCTACTGGAGAGGAGACACTAGGTGGTCTTGCTGAGCGAGAGTACTAGCCCGCCGTTTGGACTATACTTATGGCAGCACTTCATATTATCCTTAAATTATGGTATATTCAGCTTTATTCATTGTAGCAAACATGCCAAACAAAGCGAAAGGTTTAGGTAGTGATCGAATTTTAGGTTTTTGCTCCGGTCTGGTTCGGTCTGATTCGAGTGAGATAATTCCACATTGTGCTGTCATTGATGTCTAAAGTCATTAGACACAACACAAGAAAAAATCTGTGAAGAACGAGGATCCAGCAATGGAAAAATTTCATCCAGCTGTATCGAACGAAAGAACGGCACATGGCAGAATAGAACGACCTACCGTTGGGTTCATCGTTCCAAGTTATCTCTGAGGCCAAGGGTGAGCGGAATATCCAGGCTAATTGTTTGAAAAGAAAATGATTGAAGGGAAGACGCCAAGTAGCGACCAAGTATTGCAACGTCTGCCCCTGAGCTAGTGGGAGGGAGAGTTGCGGGATTATTCTACTACCATGAACAAGGCCAGCCTACCGTTTCATCTCAACAGTCGTATAGGTTCTTAGTCTAAGATTTTAATAAAAATTGAAGTGATTGGAGGTATTCCAGGCAATAACTGAAGCTAGAATGTTAGACCTCATTGTATCGCTGCAAAATTGCCATCAGGTTTGTCTGTAAGAGAAAGTTGAAGGTGACCTAATGATAATGGGCACAGGCATTCCGTTGCTGTATTTCACGTATATTTAGATTTCTAATCTAAGATTGGCTGAGGGAATACTATATCAACTCTTTGAATTGAGAGAAAGGGTATTGTCCGCTCAACTGAGGGACAGCAGAGCAGAGCATATGTCCGATCGCGCTTGGGGGGTCGTGAAATCGCCACGTTCATGATAACTGACGTGATCTCCCGTATATATTTGGAGTTTCTCAATATGAAGCTTGCTATGTTCTTCGAGTTGGTTTGCATGCTTCAGTGGTATTGACCTACCTCGAGCACACTGCAGACAAGAGAAGATGAAAGTTGGGAGCATATGATCACGTGACTCGCTTATAAAACACTATGCTTAAATTGGTCATGCAGTTATGTATCATCGAATATCGTTCAAGAATATGGTTATTCCATGGCAGAGAAACCTAGATTCTGTTGCCTGTCTATCATTTTCTCGGTCAGCTAAAAAAAAACATCACAAGACCTAGAGAGATTCTTTAGAGCTAAGAATATAAGTCAATTGCTCGACGACATTTGCACACTCACCATATATACATTGGACCTTCAAATAACTACTAATATCAAGCTCATGATGTAAAGAACATTGTCAATAATAACCAATGATGTTTCTTAATATGAGTGAGTGCCTTTTGTATTAAGAGTTCAAGATTATCCCGTACTAGGTTGTATGTGGTGCATTTGTTTGACCTGAAGTTATCATCAATGTCAGATAAACTGTTCAGTATAAGTAATCATGCTATTTTTATATGTCTACCTCTTGATTGCTTCACTGCAACTCCACAAGTCGTATGAGAGCAATACGATGCGTTCAAGTGACCCTTTCCAGTTGTGTCACTGATCTCTCAAGTGTAATAGGGACTAGTTCCTTTCGATAGTTCGGGAGTAGGCAGTTGCCGAATGATGGCCTAACATCGGTAAGAAAGCTGGCAGCCTACGGTGCCTCCTTGCTAAAGTGATACGTCCTTCTAATTCTCGGAATCACACTGTCAAGGCACCGCTTGAAACATCTGGTTGGGAGTTCGGATCAAGATCTTCAGTAGGCCAATGTGGTCCCGTAGCAAGCTTCAAGAGCGTTATTTTGGCTTAGTCTAAAGTCACAATCAGGATGAAATCACTAAGCCATTGGAGGTAAGTGCGGTCATATCCCACTCTAGTTAGCTTATGCAAAATCTAGCTCTATATTTGTGACTAGAAAGATCCGTTGCTCATCAGATAGCGTCGAATTATAAAGGACTTCCTCGCAAGTTGACTCAACTTTTAAGTAGTACATGTCAGTGTATTCTAGATGCCGGAGCTAGGTGTCAACCCAAAAACACTTGATAACTGGATCTTCCAATCAAAACATTCAGAGCTATGGGAAATAAGTTTGTTGCACACCTGATCTTATCAACTTGCAAGGTACACCCTAAAAAGCACTTAGACAAGCTCAAGTTTTGATGGTGTAGTCCATACATCTTCTTCATGACCATTCTCTATTCATCAATTACTGCCCTCTAGCTCTCTCCGCGCGATATTGTGCTGATCAGCTACCTGAGAATTTCCAGCGCCCTAAAACACTCCAACAGATCATCTTCTATCCACTTCCATGTTTTCAATTGCATGAAGAGATAGAGTTTTGGATGAGTGCCTGCGATTTCGCTTTACTGAAAAATCCTGGAGAAAATGCTTACTTCTCTATGTTTCGTTAATAATGATGTAGTAAATTCACTCAAAATAGATGACAGTTTCCGACTATTCTACCACGCCAAACCTTCATTAGTGGCATAATCATCATGTTCTAACATCACAAACCACCGCTAACAAAAGTCTAACATCAATATACTTCCCAAGTAGTTTCTGTCACCTGCTGACCCTCCAATAGTTCTATACTAAAATAAATCACGCTGATCACTCTTTCCGAAATCCCTATATAAGCCGCATCCCCCACGCCCATTTTCGATTTCCTTTTTCTTCTTCTTTCCTCTTCATCACACATCAGATATACCAAGTCGATTGCTACTTCGAGTCTTTCTCCGGAAACAACCAAGTCCATCGTTACTTTGAGTGATCTCTTGTGCGATACGTCGAAAAGTCCTACCAAGTCAATCGCTACTTTGAGTGTTTCTTCGGAATCTACCAGGTCGATGGATACTTTGAGTGTTCTTTTTTTCTTTGCTAAACCTTTTTGCTACACACTTTTGCTATAAATTTTTGGTCAAGTGATCTTTTTTTGCCACAAATTATGTCCAGGATTTGAAGCGTAAGTCTTTCATTTTCTTGCACTCGTGAATTACGTTTGCTAGAAGATTAAGTTGGTATCCCCCGTCCTTTGCACAATGTCATATTGTGTGTTCTCCTCTTGATGCCAATCTGTCATTTCCTGATTCTATCGTCCGTGTGGAAAATAAATACGCACCTTCCATTCTGGGAGGCGTCGAATATCTCCTGAACAAGACTTTCGGGCCAGAGTGACATTATTCTTGACTCTTTCATATTCACCAAAACGAAGTAACAAATGAAATGCCACGTCTCATGTTCCATCAAAAGCAATCAAAATTTCTCGGTATGCTATTGTGAACAGCTTTGTCATATCTCAAAGTGCTACTCCATTTTCTCATCTGATGGATAGTCGTGGCTGAACCCGAAATATTAAACTTTGATCCGGTGCTATGTTTACTCAAACATGAAATGATGTACTGCTTTTCAAAGTTCAACTACTCTTCTTTCCTCATATATTTTCGCTTCCTATAATCTGGCTAGGACTTCATCGATGCTTTTCATATATAATTACAAACACGACAATGCTCAATACTGATGGTCATTCCCCCTCATCAAAATCCCCTGTCTCGTTTATCGGCTTTTCAAAAGCATATTGTACTGAACGGTCAAAATGTACGGTTACAAGGTACCAGTCTCGATCTGGAATATAGAGTGGCACCCTGAGAGTGTGTCAGAAAGCAGGAGTAAGCACTAGGTAGTTCATAGCCACGATTTTCAATCTATAGAATCTAATCTCTGTCTATTCCAGCGAAAGAAACCTTGCCACGAAAGCGTAGTGTCTTCAATCGGAGATTGAAGTCATACAATGAGAATAGCTTCTATGAAAGAAGGACTCGGCCACCACTGTGAACAAAAAAACAAATACAAAAGAAGAATTGTACAACAGCCTCAGTCGTTTTTTTTCACTAAGATTCCTCGAATAATCAAGGCTTGTGGAAAGAAGAAGAGGATAAATAGCGAAGAAGAACTCTGCAAGGACTTCGCAAAGACAACAACATTCACAAACGAGATCAAGTAGAAAATGAAGTCCTTAATATGATGACTCTGTAGCATCAATCGAGCAAAATTGTGATGCGCAATCATTGCTTTCAATGTGTGTAAATATACGCCAATCACGATAGCATGTCAATGAAACATTTCATAGACATTTTAAAGGCAGCAAAAGACGGAAAAGGATCAGTTTATAAATATAGTATTACCCCTCAAAATCCTGAAAGGGGGGGAGAAGAAGGGGGCAAATTGTGGAAACAAAAGAAAACGCATTGACTCCAGAATTCTACACGACAATGATGTCATAACATTGCAATAACGTGGTTTATCAGCATATGCACCATATCAGCATATGCACCACTTTTACCTTAATTATTATCTTTCCACTTCAACACACGATTTATTAATAATTCATTATACAATCGAATAATAAAAAAGCACAAATACTTTTAGCTATTAAAGCTATTCAAAAAAACAAAAAACTAAGTATTCAGAAAACTACTAAGCTATATAATATATCACATACAATATTTATCCAC